CTTGATTAGTTTCTACCCATTGCTTCTTGTTCTACCCTCAGGTGCCTTGGGGAATAGTTTGATTCCCTCTTCTTTGTGGCAGCCCCTGAGATATCGGAACACTGCTATCATGTCTCCCCTAGTCCTTCTTTTCATTGAACTAGACATATCAGTAATCCAGTTTCTCTTGCAGTGGAAAAAGGGATTGCCGTCTATTCAAGCAGAGTCCATTTAGAAGCGTGTCTCACTCCAACGAGAACAGACAGAATTATGGACAGATAAAAGTGCCAATCACTAATGTGGGAACAAAATGCCACCTTCTCTGAAAGGAGGACATTGATAGGGTCAATTGCCCCAAAGTTTCCGAAGGCTCAGCTCAGGATACGAATTTGCTAACTAAAGCTATTTCGTCCGTGTTTTTATCCCTCCAATTCTGTTTCACGGAAAAGAAATTACTTTTGACATTTCTTTCACAGCAGAAGAGAAAGTGAGGGATGTTAATAATTTATCTCCCATTTCCCCAGAGATTCTCCGTCGGAGGAAAGGGAAAGATACAATAACCACAAAAACAGGAAAAAGAAAAAGAAGTTGTTAGAGGGAAGGGGGGAGAAGAAGGAAAAGAATTACAATTGGAATTTTTGAGAGGAAATGATAATGTATTGTTAATTGTAGAAAAAACTTGAAAGAAATGTTCTCTTTGCTTAAATTGAATGAGAGGATGTATGCTGTTCATAGCAAAATATACCAATGGAGAAAATAAGAAATGAAAATTTGGTGTATTTTTGTAGGGGCGATGGAAGATACTGTTTAAAAAATAACTATAAAGATGAAAAACAATGGAAGGGAATAATTTGGCTGAAAGTGAAAACAAAACTACGATGTAAAAAGGACTATGTAAATGAGAGGATGTAAAAGAAAAGACCCAGACAACTCTTTGTTCCTATAATATGTATAACTTGTGTTAAAAAAAATAAAAAACCTTGGAAAAAAAACCCCGAAACCCTTCATGCGTTATCACTCGGTTTCTTCCTTATGTTTTGCGCTGTGCAGGCCTTACTTTTGGATAAACTGGGCATCTGCCCTGAATATGTGATATTTAGGTTTCTTATGAAAGGAACGTCCGCAGGGAGGCCGTCTGACTTGATCCTCAAGGATATGCTTTTTGATGGAGTGTCAGTAAGAGTCTATTGGCCCAAAACACCAAGTCCTGAGAAGAGGCGAGCAGTTGTCTGGATCTACGGAGGGATAGGCATGTTTGGGAATGTCGGTAAGTTCTCCAAATAATTGTTTGATCTGCAAGAGGGATGGGGAAATGTGTGGGATAAGGGGCATCAAGATTCCTCCACACCAGAGGTGGGTTCCTATCAGCTCGAACTGGTTCGGCCAAATAGGTAGTAACTCGGCCGGATAGGTAACCGAACCGATTCTATCCTCGGCGGCGCTATCTTGATTTTCTGTTCTGCACATGCGCAAAACAATCTTCATTGCAAAAATGTAATTTTCCCTTTTTTAATGTTGTGCACATGCGCAGACCTTTTTTAAGTGCAAATGTGCATGCGAAGTGAGCCCGCCCACCAGTGGTGGGTTTCAAAAATTGTTTGAACCTACTCTGTGGGTGTGGCCTCCTTTGTGGGAGTGTNGTGAAAAGTTTTGCTGGACTGGTAAGTCTCTGACTTTGGATTCTAGCTTTGCTTTCGGTTGGTTTGCCTGGCCAGCACAACCCCTCCACTGGGTGTGCCGGAGCATCCGAAACAACAATTTGGTTAGCCGGATTTATAAGAAAACCCAAATCCAGGGTTTGTTTGTTTTTTGCCTCAGATTGCTTTGGGGATCTACCTCACCTTTGCCACTCTCTCCCTCTGATCCCGTGATCTCCCTGCAGTGCTCCCGTCCATCCAACAATGGAGGTTTTTAAGAAGATGTTGGATAGACATTTGTCTGAAGTGGTGAAGGGTTTCCTGCCTAAGCAGGGGGTTGGATTAGAAGACCTCCAAGGTCCCTTCCAGCTCTGTTATTCTATTCTATCCTATCCTATCCTATCCTCCCCCTTCAGCTTTGTGTGTCTTGCTCCCTGCTTGGTGTTCCTTCCGGTCCTGTTGGAAAGATTTTCTTGGCAGGTCCTCCAAAGGGCTGGGTTTGGTGCCGAGACCCAATTGAGACAATCTATTCACCAGTTTCTGGATTGCTCTCTTCCAGTATTTGAGGGGCTGCCACAAAGAAGAGGGAGTCGAACTATTCTCCAAAGCCCCTGAAGCAGGGGTGAAATGCTACCGGTTCATACTGGTTCACCCAAAGAGGTCGGGGAAAAAACCCCATCATTTCAGCTGAACTAGTAGTAAAACAAATGCTAATGCTTCAGGTGAACTGGTATTTCCAGGTTGGACTCGAAGACCTCCAAGGTTCCTTCCAGCTCTATTCTCATTGATTGATTGATTGGAATATCTGCTTGATTTCAAAGGAGTTGAACTGATACAATACAATACAATACAATACAATAGCTGTTTTTTTCTTTGAAGACATTTTGCTTCTCATCCAAGAAGCTTCTTCAGCTCTGACTGGATGGTGGAGAATGGAAGGATTGAATAGAATAGAATAGAACAGAACAGAATAGAATAACAGATTTGCAAGGGACCTTGGAGGTTTTCTAGTCCAACCCCCTGCCTAGGCAGGAAACTCTATACCATTTCAGACAAATGGCTATCCAACATCTTCTTAAAGACTTCCAGTGTTGGATGGACGGGAGCACTGCAGGGA